ATTTCACAGATCATAACCGTGTAAATGGGTTAGTGTTTTGTTTCTAACTAAAAACTAGCTTATTGTATGTTTATGATTTGTAGATATGATCACTTGCTTAAAGAATAAAGGAAAATGAAAACTTCTCAAGTGGGCCTAAAGTACACTTGAAACTTAAAAGGTAAGGACAGTTTAGTTATTGTTACTCTTGGTTTATTGCTCAATTTTTTGTTACAGTTCTATTTAGTTGACAATTTCAGATAATCACAGTATTTGTGTTCGGGGTAATAAAATAAATAACACATTGGTTTGTGTGTAACAGTAAAAATATCATCCCTCGTAAAAATAACAATATTTTCCTCGGGATGATATTTTTACTCTTACCCACAAACCCATGTGTTATTTATATACTTTTAATAATATAGCTGATGAGAATTAGTACATGTTTTATAGCATAAGTGAATGCTCTTGAAATTTATAGATTACACTGATTTTCATAATTATTATATTTTGCATATTTAAGTTCAATAGATAAGATACAAAAAAAGATGCAGGCAAGATTAATAGAATATATCATTGGGTTAGATAGAGGATAGTGAAATCCCAACCCAAGGGTGATCAGTTCCATCGGGAACGATCCTTTACGAAATCTCCAAATGGAACCGATTGCCCGAGGGTTGGGATTTTCCTATCCTCTATCTAACCCAATGATTGATTATTTTTCTCACTCACCTGGACACAATAAATATCAGTGAAACTAGATCTACTTGCTACGCCTTAGTTTTGAAAAACGGGATGGGGCTTAGGCGCCTGGCGTACATCTGCCAAAAAATTCTACTGACCAAGTTTATGTGTGAAAAATCAATGAAAATGAATTCATATGAGATCCCTCATCAAAACGTAAGGTAATCATGATAAAACACATCTATAGTAAAGTCGGAAAAGGTCATAATATTAGTGTTTATAAGGAATTCAGTCCATACTTAAATGGTTGCCAAAAAGCGTTTACCGTTTGCAAAGATTTTTCTACTTATTCGGTTATTTTGGCCGAATATTAATTACGATATATCAAAATGAGATTGTCATCAAGAAGCATTGTTATCATAACAGAAAACATGGATGTTTTTCAGGCAAAATGTCAAAATATCGGATTTTACGAGGATTTTTTTACAATATTTTAAAGTGTGCTATTTACCGATATTGAAAAGGGCGGACCTAGGTAGTGTAGCACTCATTGCAGTGTTAAAGTTGATATAAATCTATTTTGATTCCGTGGACAATTTAATAGATTAGCTCACTGATAGCTTGAATGGGTTCGAACATGGGTCATCTCGGATTAGAAACTAGGTCGCCGGCGCTAAAAATAGAAAAGCCTTGTTAACACTCTAGCGGTCACATTTCTGCCTCGATCATCATCTAACTCGGTCAGGATGTTTGTCTAGGTAAAAGCGCAGACGAGTTTAAATGCGGGTCATCTCGGATGAAAAACTGTGTCACCGAAGCTAAAAATAGAAAAAAAACATTGTTAACACTCTAGCGGTCACATGGCCAGGATGCTTTTCTAGTAAAAAGCTCAAATTAGTTTGAACATGAATTATCTCGGATGAAAAACAAGGTCACCGGAGCTATAAATAAAAATGTTAACACTCTAGTGGTCACATTTTGCCCCAATCATCAAACGTGGTCAAGATGCTTGTTTATGTGACAGATTAAATGAGTTCGAACATGGGATATCTCGGATGAAAAACTAGGTCAACGGAGCTAAGAATAGAAAAAACATCGTTAACACTCTAGCGGTCACATTTTTGCCTCAATCATCATCAAACTTTGTCAGGATGCTTGTCTAGGTAATAGCTTGGATGAGTTCGAACATTGGTCATCTCGTTTGTAAAACTTGGTCACCGGAGCTAATAATGAGAAAACCTTGTTAACACTCTAGCGGTCAAATATTTGCCTCAATCATCATCAAACTTTGTCAGGATGCTTGTCTCGGTGATAGCTCGTTTGAGTTCGAACATGGGTCATCTCGAATGAAAAACAAGGTTACATGAGCTAAAAATATAAAACCTTGTAAATTCTCTAGTGGTTACATTTTTGAATCAATCATCATCAAACTTTGTTAGGATGCTTGTCTAGGTGATACCTCGGATGAGTTTGAACATGTTTCATCTTGGATGAAAAACTTGGTCACAGGAGCTAAAAACAGAAAAACCTTGTTAACACTCTAGTGGTCACATTTTTGACTCAAATGTCATCAAACTTGGTCAGGATGCTTGTCTATGTGTAGCTCGGTTTTGTTTGAACAGGGGTTATCTCGAATGAAAAACTAGGTCACAGGACTTAAAAATAAAAAAAAACCTTGTTTACACTCTAGTGGTCACATTTTTTTATTTAAATGTCATCAATCTTGGTCCGGATGCTTGTCCAGGTAATTGCTCGGATTAGTTCGAACATAGGTACTCATCTCGGATGAAAAACTAAGTCAGAGGAGCTAAAAATAGAAAAATCTTCTTAACACTCTTGTGTCTACTGCTTTGATCAAATTTACTGTTAATTGGTCTGAAAGTTTGTCTTGATGATTTCTAAGTCAAGTTCGAATATGGGTCATCTGGGATAAAAACTAGGTCACACTGCCCAAATATGGAATAAACTTGTTTACATTCTAGTGGTCACAGTTTTTACTCAATTATCATCAAACTTGGTCAGGATGCTTGTCTAAGTAATTGCTTGAATGAGTTTAAACATGGGTCATCTCGGATGACAAACTAGGTCACCGGAGCTAAAAAAAGAAAAATATTATGAACACTCTAGTGGCTACTGTGTTGATCCAATTAGTCTGTAAATTGGCCTGAAAGTTTATTTTGATGATTTCCAGGTCAAATTCGAACATGGGTCATCTCGGATGAAAAACTATGTGACACCGCCAAAATGGGAAAAACCTTGTTAACACCCAAGTGTTAACACTCTAGGTAATTGCTTAAATGAGTTCGAGCATTGGTCATGTTGCCTGAAAAACTAGATCACCGGAGCTAAAAAAAGAAAAATCTTGTTAACACTCTAGTGGCTACTGTTTTGATCCAAGTATCATGGAAATTGGTCTGAAAGATTGTTTTGATCATTTCTAGGTCAAGTTTGAATATGGCTTACCTGGGTAAAAAAACTAGGTCACACTGCTCAAATATGGATAATCCTTGTTAACACTCTAATGGTCATATTTTTGATTTACCTGTCAAGAAACTTGGTCAGAATGTTATTCTAGGTAATTGTTCAATGTGTTTTCTTTTATTTTAACTTATCACAGTTATATCATTATATTGGAATATAATTACAATAAATGAGCTTATACGAACGTACTCACTATAAAAATTGTGCTTTACCTTTCTTAAGTAAAGTTTTTCTTTATCAGACATCTTCTGTTACTTTTACTTCTTCAGGCTTATTACCTATTTCATACATACATATATTATTATAAAATATAAGTAAAAACCATAATTGATGAAAGTAAAGTACACTACACAACATCAATCTGAAAATAAAAACAAATACACAAATGTAGCATGTTTTACAAGACAAGTTGTTGTTTTTTCTTCAAAATTACAAATCAGATTTATTTCTTCATAATGTGAATATGGAGTAAGAATTGTACTTTAACTTCGATCACTTAGTGATCATCACTTCATAGACCACCATTTAATAAGATGTTACAGTTGTTTTAATAACTTTAAAGGTTTGGCGTTACATTTAACAATTTTATTCATTTACTTCAGTCTCATGTTTACATGTTTACATAAAATTATGTATAAAACATAAAACACAAACATAAAATACATGAAGAGTCATTCTTAGCAGAACTACAAGAGCTTATTTACTTTTGCTTATAAGGGAGACAACTCCACAGGACATATTACAGCAGTTTTATGTACTGAGGAATTGTCCCCCCTTGCCACACAAATTTCATATGATCATTATCACACATTGAAAGGCTATGTTATATGTTAAAGGCATAACATCAATATATTCACACTATGTCATGTTTTTCTTACAGAAGTTAACATTGTGGTAATAAATGGGACACATTGAATAAACAAAGACTGAAATGTTTAAAAACAAATAATAAGAAATAAGAAAATTGACCATTATATATCATTTAACCTTTGAAAGTACAGTATGTCATTTTTATACTGTATATTTTACAATCTCAAAATGTTACCAACTTTAGTATATCAACGATTTTTTTTTCAACGTAATTTACCATAAGATATGTTTTATCAATACAATGAATTGGCTTAGTCATTGGGTGTGTTATACATATGCAACATATATTTGTCCAATATATAATGTATATGGCAGTAAAACTTAGAATGATATGTCAATAAATAACATTGACAAAACCATATCATGTCAAATAAAATTACCTAAGACTGTTTGTACTATAAAATTTTATACTGTCAAATTAAATGTATCTAAGAATATATTAACTATAAAATAATATTCACTATTTTAAAATTAATAACAATGTTTGATAAGTGCAAGAGATTACAGTCTTAGTGTAGAAAAGACATTTTTCTTAAAACCTACATTCCAGTAAAACCATTAATCTGTTATTCTTTCATATACAATGTACATATTTTAAAGGGTAAGATAAAATTTAAAATAAAAGAAAAACATAAAAAGGAGCAATTTGTGTATTCTTATTTGTAAAGGAAAGTTACCTTTCACTTAAGTACATATATATCAAAACAGGTTTTGGTAAAATACTGTACGCAACTTGCATTGGAGAATATAAAAACAAACTTCTCAATAGTTGTCATTGTGTGAAATTGTGGGTTTTTGACACTCACTTTTTCAAATAAATCTACACGAATATCTTCATTACAGAGTAAAATTTACTTTCTACCTTCTTATTACCAAAAAGACTTTCATTAACTGGTATGCGTTCATATCTGCCTGTTTCTATTCTTAGTGGTTCAGTTCCACATCTGAACATCCACATTCCACATCCACATCTAAGCTGTTTTTTTGATACAACATTATCAATGTTTCAAATTCTGTACATTCAGGATTATTAAAAATTTGTTTAAGAGGAAATACAAGTTTTTTATACCTAGTACTACCAACTGAATTAGCATACATAACACTTTGTAGTTTGTTCTGAACATAGGCATCATACATAGTATGTGCCAAACATTAGAAACACTAATCATATGTTTACTGAAAGTTGGTTGCCAGTCCATATCGCCTATCAGGACTGCACATGGAGAGAAACGTGATGTCCCTAAGAAAAGACACATAACACGGCGTTGAATTGAGTCAATACAGGTAAATTTTTTGTTTCCCCTGATAGCTGCTCCATATACTTACACAGACTAAACCAACTAGTCAAATAATTTATTAAAGACATTGTAAGGCATTCCCATAAAAACTTTAATTTAGCTGTTAAGAGACCTAAAGCTGAGCAAAAAAATGCTGTGAAAGAGTAGTCTAAATGCTCTTAGTGTATTAAACCTAAGTATACATATTTTGGAACACATTCAAGATTATCTAGTCCACATTTTAAGATAAGATTGGCCCTATTTACATTGTTTGGTCTAAAATACATAACATCGCTCTTTGTCGGATTAATTAGAGACGCATGACGATTCATGCGGAATATCTAACATACTTTGCAAATCTTCCTAAGTTTCAGCTATGAAAACAATGTCTTGAGCATAAAGAAGTATACACACCTTTTATTCCTTTCAAATGCCAACACATAAGCATAATGCATACTTTAGTCTCACAGTAAGATCTTTAACATAGAAATTGAAAAGAATTAGTGGCAAAACATAGCCCTGACGATGACGTTGTTTACAATAAACCAGTTTGTACGCATTTCTTTTACCCGTACACAAGCTGTTACATTGGAATAAATAGAATTTATAGCAAAGAACATTTTAGTCATTTGCACCAACAGTGGCTAATTTCTTCCACAGAATATCCCTATTGACGGAGTCGTATGGTTTGCTAAAATCTATGTATGCTACAAATGTTGATCGCTTGGTTTTGTATTCAATATTGGTCAAGGTTGTCAATTTGTCAGTTGTACTACGACGTTTTCGAAACACATTTTGTTCATCCTCAAGCTTGGCATTCGATTCTGTCCATGTTGGCAAACGTTGGTTAAGAATACTACAATATACACATGTAGTTCGTACGTTGCATAAGCTAATGCGATTTCGCAATATGACATGGGATCCTTCCTATCCTGGGTATTGAACTTTGGAATCGGGTTGATGATACACCTACCCCAATCAGAAGGAACAATACTTTGGAATAACAAAAATTAAAAAGAATTTGGAGACACGAGACCGAGGCGTCATTTTTACATACCTAATACGTCAAGGCATCTATCCCACTAGCCTTGTTATTTTTGGCCCGCTTAAAAGCATTCCTAAATTCTAAAACATCAATCTCCCTTTCAAATTCTTAACATGTGTTTTATCCAGGAGGTGTATCTTCAGCCCGGTCTACAAGATCGTTTCTTATATTTACATTGTATAAATTTTCAAAAGATGTTTTCCATTTATCAAGTACAGATGGCATATCAAATACTCAATCTCCATTATCATTTACAATTTGCATATGAATAGTTTTGAATTTATGAGAAACAACACCAACTCTACCAATACTTTTCCAAAATGACTGCGGGTTATTTTCAACCTAATTTAAAAGACTGTTTTGTAAATTGTACCACAAATACCTTTAAGCATTCTGTACAGCCCTACTAAAATTCTTCCCTTTCTGGCAGTAGGTCTGTCTCAGATGTTGCTTATTTTGGACATTGGTGCTTTTACAATACATTCCTTCAGCATTTAACATTATTCTATTTAACAGTAAGGTCATCAGACCGCCATGGTTTATAACATTTTCTTCCTTTATTGTTATTTGAATTAAGAGTCTTTTGTTTCATCCTAGGCAGACTAACTCAACATAATTATACTGTATTTATATCAGATTGAGTCTTTTAACTGGCTTCTAAAGTAAATGTACAGTTACGTTATATATTTATCACATCTTTATCCTTACAAAAAGTTTTGGGTATATTCTTGACATCGATGTGGTCAGGCTTATGGTAGAATCACCGAGTGCATTGTGGTTGTCCCGATTAAGTCCACAACTGATGTTTTTAACTTCAAATTTCCATGTTAAAACTGAGTGATCTGGTATGAATAATGGAGTAAGACCAAATTTGTTGATTAAGTCAGCAGATATAAAGACAAACAATTCAGTTAAACAATCTAAATCAATGTGGCTGGTCAAACAATAGTCAACAACTGAGCAGCCCTGACGTCTAACACATGAGATATCATTTTTGACTGTATTACCACCATCGACAATACAAACGTTACAATCCATTTAACAATCTATCATAGCTGATCCATACACACTTACAATATGATCAACAATTCTCCTTTAGGTAGACTATCAACACCCTCTATAAAAACGTTCAACCCATCTTTTGAAATCACCACAAATACATAATGTACCTTGCTTCTGAAATTCATATAGACAGAAGACAATTATAGAAAATATGATAAACAAGATCAACAAGGAAAGGCGGCGTTCAGTGAACGCAACCCCCACACGACCTAAATAAATTTGTCTTGTTGAAAATTCAGGTGGCAAATAGCAGACAGCAAAAAAAAAAAAAAAGATGAAAGAGTAAATAGTTCATTTTTTATATTTAATTTCAACCATAGTCTCCCTTCATTATCGCATTTGCAAGCAGACACCTCAAAATCCACAAGAACACCATTTGAAATGAAAACACCATTTTTAATGAAAAAATCACATTTTTGCGAAACTAAGAAGATTACCATTCCATTTTGAAAACAGCATCAAAAGAAACAAAAACAAACAAACAAACAAACATCCCAAAACAAACAACACTAAAAGATGTTTGGGTCCTTTGTGCAGAGGCTGTGAAATCTACTTTAACAATTGCTGATGTATTATTTTGTAGTTTTTACATCTAATGTATGAACAACATGCATTTTTGCCATAAGAAGAAGGGATTTCAGGACAATCAATATTGGAATCGACTCTTTCCAGGTAAAGTGATCCATTTCTTCAAAATTGACAACAGGGTATATCTTCGTCACTGGAATTTGTAGTTGCTTAGATGTCGCTTCAACAGCCTGAAGGATTTTCCTACATCGGAAAATTGTATCTACGTCGTGTTTAACATGCTCTGATAGTTTGTCAGTTTTCGTAAGAACGGCCATAACAGGGATATCTGAAATAAAGTAAAAGTAAAAGACAATATTATACGTTCTTTGCATTCTTTGCATTAATTATGCTTATGAAAAAATATTGCATGCTGTTTTGTTGAGTATGAAAAAACAGCATCTATGTAAATTGGTCAACTCCATAGTCAAATGATCATACTATAAATAATCAAATTAAATTACTGTTGCCGATGAAAAGCAAAATGATCATACTGTACACCATAGGCTTAAAATTCTAATAATGTAGATAATCCACAATATATCGACAGCTTGGTGTGAAAGGGTTGTAACTGCTTCTTTATTTATTTTAAGCGGGCTTCAGCTTTTCTAAAGGATTGATATATTACTTTTAGATAAATCGTTTCAAACAAATGCCAAATCAAACGAATATAGATGAAAAAGGAAAATGTCCACCAATACATAAAATACATAAACACCAAGGAAACCCCTCAATATTTCTAATCTTCCGGTCCGCTCGGTATATTTAAATAAAAAGGTCGGTCGATTCGATTACTTATATTGTAGTTTCAGAAACGAACATCTATACGTTAGTTATATATAGTTATGTTGAAGCTGTTTTAAAGAAGACTAAAAGTGGTATTAATCGCTTTTCAAAGATAAAATTGCAGAATTACTTTGATTGTAATCACGCAGAATTGTTTCTGCTGAAGAAAATAAAGGCTGAAAGTCGCTTTAATTACCAAAATATATATACTTTTAGAATCTATGGTTTCCATGATCGTCTTGACGCCACATACAAAAGTTGCGGGAAGTTCGTATGCCACTGTACTGTCGATGACAATCAATGCACAATGAATCTTATCCCATAAATTAGGCGATGATTCATAACTCTCGTCTTCAGAAGATATGCTTATTTCTGGATTAAACTGCATATTGTGGAAGACAGAACAATTTTGATTTATTATTTCGTCCATATCAGAGCCAAGCCAATACAAAAATGCATAGATGTAATTAATAGTTCTTGATAAAAGTATGTGATGTATTAGTTTTTTTCAAAGCCATGTATTTTAAAGTAAAATGAGAAAACTGAGAGTTTGAGACTGTACTGGCGATGCATCGAGTACCAACCAAACAGTTACTTATTACACCTCTTTTTAAATCAGAAAACGTACCGTATATCCATGTTTAACATGTCCTTGTAGAATACGTTTGATATCTTCTACAAATGGATCGATTTTCTTTGTCACTGGGAGTCCAGAAATGTCACCCAGAACCAATTGTTCCAATAGGCCGGACAACATATAATTTCTGTACTGAAATTCAAACATTTTAAACTGTATGTTATGTCTAGTTGATTCATAGTTGTAAATGATAGCGACCATTTTACCCCTTTTACCCCATTAAGGCAATACAGGGGGTGTATTCTCCCATTATCAAATTATGTTGAAGCTATTCATTCGCGGGACCTGCTTGGTAACAAATGTCTTAGATAGAAAAAAAAAGCAACCAAATCGTCGTTACAAACTGAATGTATAATAACAACACTGTACTAAATCAAAGAGTTATCGAAATGTGAACATAACTATCTAATTCTTTGACCATAGTTCGAGGGTTGTTCAAAAGGAAGAAAGGACTAAGAGTCTTGCGCCTTTATATTCGATTAAATTAAGAATATTTCCATATGTACCGCAATCGTTTAAAATTTGAATAACCATTATAATACGCACACGGCACAATACTTCAAAAATGGTTTTGTAGCTAAGTTGTATTTCTAGTTTAATCATAATTTGCTTTTGATTTTTTCATAGATCCCTTCAACACATGCTATTGTATTTAAGCGAAAGTCTAAATGTTCAAGTTTTGGACATCTGTGGTCAAGGATGTAGAAATATGACGTCCGTAAACAAAACGAAAATTTGTGCGATTGTTAAATATTGTAGAGACCGGCGATACTCCTTTAGATTCATATGAAAAGATTTAATTATCACAAAATATTTATTCGGCTATCAGGTAACTCGTTTAGCTGGCGCAACAATTTAAAAGTGGGGAAAAAAACAGATCACAGACAGGAAAGGTCGAGGAAAATATAATGACGTAACGTTAGTGACTACAAAAGCATCGATGTAAAAACAGTCTGCAACTTGTACGGTATATTTGATGTCTGCGTAGGGTCTTCTTATTCAGTTCTGTCTAAATAATTGAAAACGAGTCATGTGTTTCAAACACTATCCTATTTTACATAACTATATACGTGTATTCAATAAATTAATAAAATGAAGATTCACGGTATTGTATTAATAAAACCGATTTTGTTTGTTAAATGATAGCCTTTGCTCAGTAGAAAATAATACTTTTAAACAGATAATTATTTGTATTTAACTAAACATTATCACATTGTTTTCAGAATGTCCAGTGCATGTCTGAATAAATACTATACACCGCTTTTCACTAACAATTTAAGTCTATTTTCAGTGAATTCCAATATTACTGAAACATCACGATAAAAAGCTAAGAATTGCCGGTAACAAGGCCATTCTTCCGAAAATTGGAAGAAAAAGTATCTTTTTTCTCACTTTAAATAAAAAAGATTGTCTGGTTATCAAAAATAAGATCAAGACACCAAGAGATCTACAGAGAAAATGACACTTGTTACATTTTGAACGTCATGAACGTCATGTATTGTGATATAGCGCCCGCGGGGTTGGGAACCTTTTGTCATTTGAAATTGTCACAGAGCGTTAATTGGAAGGTGTAAACATTAGTCTAAGAGCTACATTCCCATTACGTTTCGAACATCCCTCGTATATGTTTCATAAATATAGCTTATAAACTCACTTTTGTTGTGACATTTGTTTCCCTCGAAGCAGCATTGCAAACCGTTGTTTTCTCGTCTTCACATACTGAAGCAAATGTGTTAATCAGTGAAGACTTACCATGCCCATAAAGGCCAATTGTAAGAGCTTTAAACCTTTTCAATTTGGAATCTTCTGTAATATTGATGCCTTTTATATCTGTTTTAAGTTTCTCTGCTATCTGAAAGAATATTATTTCGGTTATTGATAAGGAAGTATATAGTCTGAATGATTACGAATGATTTTATTTTTCAAATTATATAAAGTGCGATGACTGCTTATAAACCTGACTGCAATACTTTGTTGTTGTTAAGCATTTATATACTACGCAATATACATATTTACATAAAAAGTCCAGGACATAACAATTCTTATAAAAATCAATAATGGAAATAGTATTTCTTACTTCTTTTTTCCATTTGAAGTTTTCGCAAGGTTCTCTCCAGGGTTTCCCTGTTAGGCCTGTAAAAACGAATTTTAATCTTATATTTCGTAAGACCCATACAACAATGTAAGTTATATTAAATAATCATGCTCCAGTTTGGCATCATGGACAGAAAACAATTGATTTAGTTTTGAAATAAGACAAAAGAAGTCTCCCTTTTTATATTCGGTTCAATAAAATTATTATTCAGTTTAATATGTAGATGATTGGAATGAAGGACTGAAAAAATAATGTTTTCGAGAAGTTTTCCTATGTTCGAAGCGTACAATGGTGCTTCTAGGTACACAACTGGGGTATCTCCCCGATTAATTACCATTTAGGTTTTAATAATGTTAATTTCCCATAGGCCATTCGGAGTTATTCTCACTGCAGCAGGTGTATAACGTGACTTAGCACTGTTACAAATGTAACAATACGTTCTAACGTATTAAAATGTTGTCGCGTGGTACTTTTGGCCGGGTTGCACAGGGTTATAGTATGATGAATGATGGGCGGCGGGCGGTCGATGGACGGGCGGCGGGCGGTCGTTCGGGAAAAACATTTCGTTACAGTTTTCTCAGTAACTACTTATCACAGCCTCGTGATATTTAGCATACAACATTGACACATGGTGCCATACTGTGGGATTCGATTTCATGTCTGTCAACATTAATGGTCATGATAGAACGTTTTCGTACCACTTTTCTCAGCAACTACTTATCACAGCCTCTTGATATTTGGCATACAGCTTGGCCTAGTGGTTCAATATTTTGAGAGTCGATTTCAGATCTGTCGCTCATCCACATCCTATTTATCGACTTTGCACTAACTTGCACTTTCCAGTACCGTCCATGAACAGGCTCAATCAAACCGAGCTTGCAACATTTTCAATTTTGCCGTGTTGGGCTTTCTTTATGGATTCTGTATTATCTGTTTTATGATCACATCCGTGTCATTTGTGCCGTGTGGCGGCTGTAAAAAGTCTCCCCGTACATTTAATCAATGATATTATATTTTCGATCCTTGAACATTGGTCAGCACGACATTATTGTTGTGCTTGTGGTATTTTTAGTTTCAACTTTTCGGCATTTTCTAATTAGGTGGTTCCAATATTCCTACTTGAATAATGTTGAATCACCCTTAGGATATGTTCCCTGCTTTTTAAAGTTGTCTTTTGACGTCTTATCTGTGATACGCAGGCTTCATAACCTCTGATCCCCTTTCAAAATTCCATTTTATTTATCTCCGCCCATTGTTTTCTCGTCTCGTTTAGGGCACATGCTTTTTATTACTTGGGGACCATACGCCGCTTTTCATGGAATGGCACGGAAGTATCACATTGAAGGTTCCATGATAACCGCCGTATGAACACATCTGCGGATGTTACTAAATTCAAAATTTTACTATTTTCATGTTTAAATGTTGAATTCTTCTTAAACCGGTGCTAGGGGGCGTGGACGGTAACTTGCACCTTCCAGTACCATCCATGAATAGGCTCAATCAAACCGAGCCTGCAACATTTTCAATTTTGCCGTGTTGGGCTTTCTTTAGGGATTCTGTATTTATCTATTTTGTTTAATTTTTGACATTAATGGTCAATGGTAGGAAATTTTCGTAACAATTTTCTCAGCAACTACTTATTACAGCCTCATGATATTTGGCATACAGGATAAACTAGTGATCCAATATATATCAATATAATATCAATATATATATACATTATTTCGGATATGTAAACAAAAAATGGTAAACATCTTTCATCTCATAACCACAAGATTATAATATTATGTATTTTCTTCTATCTGACAGTGAGAGCAAATTTATTTTTTAATAAACTTTGAAGAGAAACTGAACAGGTTAGACCGCTTACGATTCTGGCTGCCTCGTGCTGCATTTTTAAATATCTGGCGTATCTTTTTCATAACTTGTACACCAATCCCATACCGGAGATACATATTCTTAAAGAGGTCTTGGAAATTAAATATAAAATTGGTTAAGGGTTAAGTTGTCTAATAATACCTAATAATTTTGAAGCAGATAATGTTTTGTTTGTGTATTTTATCAAATTTGACTGGTCAAACTACAAATTTGGTTTGTTAACGTTAGGTCGTTGAGTTAAGATTAAGACAATCCTTTCAATTTTGTTAGGATTTAAATCTACAAGTCATTTTTAGACCATAATTTACAAAAGAAAGCTAAATCATGATTAATAATCCCTTCATGATCAGATCAAGAATTGACAACTATTGAAATCAGCTTTGTTGTATATCAAACCTTTCTTCTTATTTCTTTAAAGACATCTTAAAGGAGATTTGAAAAACTTATTTGTTGGTTTCTGGTCGCTAATCTTAGAAATAACTACTAACACGTCACTTTGTTAACATATTAATCCATAAGATATGAGTATAAGGTCTATAAATGTGAATGTTAAATTTATTATTCTAGTGACGAAGTAACATTTGTAAGGTTAAATAAAAGCGTGATATGTTTCAGATAAGTATAATTAGTTAGTTGGTTCTCATTTATGTAACCTACAATAGCTATGTTTTCATATTTATCTAAAGCATTGTCTATCATTATTCCAAAATCATTTAAAAATACGGGGTTACAAGGAGCTCTATATACACAACAAAGAAAAATGGAAATTGCACAAAACCTAATTTCTAACCATATTTCGTCACAGAATGCATTATCTACTTTTCTCTTCTACATGAAAGTAAGTTTTAAGATACATAAATGAAAACTCCACTAGAATGAGCAGTAACATCTCTACGATAAACACAAGTGTGTGAACTCTCTAGTTATAACTCATTGGTTCGAATGTGCGTTTTGATAACACAAAGAATATCGTAGTCTAACAAGTTTTCGTTTATAAAATTAAGTTTGTTTCTAATAGATCTACTGTTGAGATGTACAATTGATATACTTGATTCATCGGAAGTTGTAACTGGAGGACTCGTATTCATTTTAATATATTCTGAATTTATCAATATTACCATTAATAAAAATAAAAAACTGGATTTGAGACGCAAGTTAGCAGTAGTCGTATAAACAAATCAAAGTATAACTTGAGAGTAATAAGTAAAGAAATCATCATTCTAAATATTAGGGTAAAATTGAGAAATTGAAATACATTTAATGCATTTATATGAAGCTTTTGAATTCCATAGTTAAAAAGTTCAATGGTCGCTCTGTATAAAGCTTATTCGTAACCCATTAGGTAATAAAACTTAACATAAGTTTTCAACATGCGACCATAGATTACAAATGACAGCACAAACATATATTACTTGACAGCTCGTAATAGACAAGACAAAAAGATAAAAATAGCAAACTTGAAAAGGAAACTGCATGATAAAGTATAACTAAACAAATACGGAAGAAAAATGATTCATTATATCTATATGTTAAGAAATAGAGTATGTGTTTAAAGAACAATATTAATACTTTCAATAAATGCTCATTTAAAAGAAAGAACTATTGTGTTATAATTAAGATCAATATCTTTAGTAAAGATAAAGTGACACAATATATTAAATATTTGTTCTTAAGTTGCATGTCAACATACTACCACGTAGTGGTTTTTATGGAAAAACATTTGGTGACTTAATCAAAATAAAATACCTATTGAACAGTCGTATCCTTAGCATATTAATACTTAACACTGTTAATCGTTGTATATGTATAAGAGTTCATGCATGTAATATAGCAAGAAACTTCTGATATACTTGTATATGTTAACTTACGAATTGGATAATATTTTATTTAATGTTTCCTGCAAATTTGGTTTATAAACACTCGAAAAACATTATACGCTAGTTAAAACACTAAAAAAGACTGGTCTACATTCGTATTATTTCACATACATATCCTGAAAATTGAAAACCAAATTGTAGTCAATTGGCGCAAATGAGCATTGAACAAACAGACACCATTTGATTCTCAATCAAAATTTAAATACATTTACACAATTTAAAGAAAATATTATTCACATTAATTCCGAAAGAACACACAATTTAAAAAAGTGATATGCTTATTATAGCAATAAATAACTTTAAATGATTATATAAGATATGTTACTTGTTTTTAAAATAAAAATCTTTGTATCTGTCTTGGTATTACAACCTTATAAAAACGTTGATGCATGAAAAACGAGTATTGAGCAGTTACATCAATATTTGGTTAGGCCGTTATATACAAGTGTCCGTGTCTTTAATTTAAAAAAACTTTCTGCAATAGCAGATCAATGGCTCTAAATGAGATTTTTGCAATAAATATGGCTAAATACATGTACATGTATTTTGTTTGAAAAGAATAGAACATACTCTTTATTTGGAATACAAAGATTTCAAAATATACAAGGCAGTCTGAAAGACAGCTAGATCCCCTTCCGCAGCGGACATGAATTTGTACTTCTTGACCTGTAACAAACCGAGATCTTGATTTTTTTACTTCCATTTTGTTTCATTTTTTTCTTTTTTCTTTTTTTTTCATGACCATATCTGTTAATTGCAAAATACCTCTTTTTGTTTTAAAAAAAGAAAGGCCTTTGTTATATGTTCAACTGAAAGAATTGTGTGCATGATAATGCCATGAACTGTTTATATGTAAACTGTTTAAACTGGGACAGAACACTCATAAGCTTTCATAGCTGCCTGCCCAATCCCCAATCCCAAATGTATTGTGTAAATATTGTTCATCATAATGTAAATATATCGAATATAAAATATGTTTAAACCAAACCATGACCTAAAGTTATCTTAACCTCGGGGGTAGCAGCCTGGATGTAAGATTTTGTACATCGTGTAACAATTGTGATGAATTATGCCAAGTCATTTTTAAATCATTGCAGCGTTTAAAATGTTATGGAGCAGACACCAAATGTAGTCTTTTTAACACTTGACCTTTAAGCAAACACAGTAATGCATAATTCTAATAAAACTGGTCTTGAGTTTCATTTTTTATTATTGGCATGAATAGTGCTTTTTAACCAATGAGAATCGATTGAAATAAAATAGAAGGAAACAAATATGCGTAG